TTAGAAAATTTTAGATGGAAAGAAAATGTTTAGGAGATAAAACATTGCTTCAAAGTTCAAACTCAATTAATTTTTATTATTTATTGGAAATCCTTTTATTTTCATTATATATACTAAGCAAGCTAAATGTATGTAAATATAATAAAAATATCATTCGCATATAATTTTCCTTGGCATTTTCAGAGGTAAATCCAAACGTTAAAGAAATCATTGGCATTTTCTTTTCTTTCTGTAGTATATCTCAGGATCTTACATATAATTGGAGAAATTAATACATTGGAATTATGTAGAGTATTCATAGTAGTACTAAAGATTAACAATCAAGGTTTTCCCTTGAACAAGGGAAAAGTACATTGTAGTGGAAGCCATTTCTGTTCCTATTGATGCTAATTGAACCATTATATGAAAAAAGAGAGGCTCTTCTGAGTTTTTAATGGCTTTAACTTGTATATTAATGTGCAGACTTCTGAAAATCTGAAGCCAGATGCAAGCCATGAGGATGAAAGTTCAACATTGGCAACAGTTAGGAGCAAATGCATCACACAATTACTGATTCTTGGTGCTATTGATAGTATTCAGGCCTGTCAATGCCCTGCTTTGCCTTTTCACCTTTTACTGTTTCTCAGAAAATCCCATTCTTTCTTCTCAGTAAATATTAAGCTCACATATGCTACTGCCCAATGATGATAGAAACTATAGAAATGCTACGATTATACAAAGTAATTAGAAACTATACAAATGCTACTTGCAGTGATAAGGTGCACACACATGCACCACGATTATTTAAAAACAAGATTTCTTTCTGGATATGAAAATATATTTACTTTTTAATATGTTTTGTAATCACTTCATCAATATATCTTTTTGCCTCTTCCAAAATTTTCAGAAAATGTATTGGAACAAGTTGAAGGCAGCTCAGAAGATCTTTCTAATGGACATTTTATTATCTCTGGTAGAGTTTGCAGCATCATATAATTCGTATTCAAGTCTCAGATTACGAACACACCAACTTGCTGCCAAAAGGTTGGGTTTATGTACTGAAATTATTTCAGACCGAAATTCCTTACAGCTATATTTGGAGAGTTGAAATAGTCTTCCACTTTTGGGTTTAACTTGGAAAGCCTGATGGAAAATCAGATTTGATTGAACTTTTAAAATCTGTACATATATTTGTACTTCTTAGTCATGATATAGTAGAAATATTTAAAAAAAATGAGTTTGAAAAAATATCTAAAATTGATTTATTGATTTCAAACCAAAATTTCCCCTCAAATTATCGCTGTATATCTTCTTTCCATCCAAACATTCCCCCATTTTGTCCATATTTTCTTTCCATATATTTAAAGGGTTCCAAAAGGATCCCAAAAGGACCTTGCACGATGATTTAGTCCCTTTTATTCCTCTGGCAGGCCTCCATTGAATATCATCCGCCAGGAGTTAGCAGGAACTTCCATATACCTTGAAATGTTACATAAGGCAACTGCAGAAATTAATGCTGAAAAAGATGAAATGCATGAGGAGACTGGTATATCTCGAAATGTAGATCATTTGGCAAGAAGTCATCATGAAACATCAAAAGTGGAAATTGAAGAAGATAATATTCATGGAATAGCAGAACAGAAGCTAGTGTCATTTTGTGGAAAGGTTCTGAGGGAGGCGTCTGACTTCCAATTCAGCATGGGGGGTGGCATTAGTACAGATGCCCATCAAGTTCTTGAACTACGTTCTACCATCATCGTCAAGGTATGTAATATGTTTTTTCAAAAGTCACCACTAGTTCTAATTATGCTACGAGTCCTATACTATTCCTCTGTCCATAAAGAAGAGTAATATTGGCTGAGTTACTAGTTAAAAAATTTAAGGTGTAACTCCTATAAATCATTCAGTTCTACTTATATGTTTAATATTTATTTGGTAGTTTAGCAAAGTCTATCATACATAACTTGATTTTTACTCTTTTTTCGAGAATGATAGGAAGACCAGATTTGTATGATTAAACATCTAATTTTGGGACAAAGAAGTGTTTGAAACATGACTCATTTTTTGGACGGCTGGATTACTCTAATCTTCATATCATAGCTTTTTGTACTATGTAGGGTTCCCAACTCCTAGCAAATTTGGGAACACCTACATAGCACGCAAGTGTATGGCCACTATAGCGTGCTCACTATATTTATTGTCCCAAATCCATCCCAAGATAGGTAAAAGTAATTTTTGTGTGTAAAATTGTTACTTTAAAACTTCATATAAATGATTTAAAATTCCAACTCATGCGAAGTTCAAAATTGTGGGAACATTTTAATGCTCAATCTTTCACCACAGTAGAGAATCATGGGCTACGAGAACACTAAAATATACTCCAAGTTTTTTTTAGTATGATTGCTGTGTGACCGAGAGATCACATGTCCAATTCTTGGGAGGGCCTCTTGTCAAATATTTGACAGGGGAAGTCTTGCCCCTTATACACCCTTTGTTGTGGGACTCTTCCCCAGCCCCTCATCTTGTGGGGATGCCTTCATGCACCGGCTGCCCTTTTTATTGATGTACATACATACACGGTCTTACAGGTACTTAAGGGTATGTCGCATATGAACAGCCAAGTTTTCAGGAATCATCTCAAAGAGTTTTATCCTTTGATTACTAACCTGATGTGCTGTGACCAGGTATTATTTTATCATATTCCCAAGTGTATTAAAAAAATGAAAGAAAAATAAATCATATGCTTTGTATGTTGTTAGAGTTATGATCTTACTCCAGAGTTGTGTATCTCTACATAGAAGTTCTTATATGTTCTCGTATGATCTTCAGATGGATGTACGTGGAGCTCTTGCCGATTTATTAAACATGCAAGTTAAAGCATTGTTGATGTAAACAAGCTCAAGCTGGTATTTAAGGGACAGCATGAGATGGAAATGAATGTTGGTTATTTATGAGCATATATTAATATGTTCATTCAGATTTCGATGAGCTAATCTTTTGACCTTATATGAACCTTTCCGGAAATATCAACATTCTTTTTTCACAGAATAAAATGTACTCTTTTTTCACATTAATTAATATAGGACTCGCGTCCCACCCCTTCTGCATCCACAACCATAAATTAGGGAGTTTCTTGTTGGTTAAACACTCTAAGCTGCATTGCGGGTTCAGCATGTGGCATGCGCTTGGCCAACAAGTATAGAAAGTGTTGATCTTTAGTACTGGGCAGAACCAAGGTAGAAGAGCACTAAAGCAGGAATACAAGTGCAAAGCTAATCAAGCTTATCTAACATATCAAACGTCTATAGGTCTAAGCAGACAAGCAGTACGATTTTCTATACATTATCATGAAAAGTGAGCATATCTTAAAATTTAAACGTGTTAGTGTAATTTTATAAATTGATTAATGATGTTCGGGTAAATATTGAATAATTCAAACACGAATCTATCAACGAGCATAGTTTAAACTTCTATATTCAAGCATGTTTATCAAGTTTAAATAGTTACAACATTAGATATTTCACCCTATTCAATGCACTACTTTGATTATATTTTATTTACGAATACATTAAAAATTTAGTTTGTAAAAAATATAACTAAATTCTACTCACTTGAAATTTTCAAATATGATTTTTTGAAAATTTTACAATTAAGGAATTAAATATATTAATGGTTAAAGGTGTGTATTGACAAACGTGAAAATATAAGTATTGTAATTAAAAAAGAATGGAAGAAATATATAATTTATTCATATAATTTATAAGTAATCAATAGGCTCGAGTCCGGATTGAACCGAACATCACTATGCTCGAACTCAACTTAAATAACTATTCAAATTCAAAATCCAGCATATGTTCAAACTCGAAGTTCGTTAAACTGAATTCACTAAATTAAATTTGAAATTAAACTCAAACTCAAATAATTCAAAAAACTCGATTCGATAACAGCCATAAGCTAAATCTTGTATGTAGTACCAATTGTTTAGGGAAAGAGTATAAATAAATCCTCGAACTAATCGAAAAAGTGCAAATCACCTCTTTTATAGGAGCCTTTGTCCCGCCGTCGTCATTTGGGGAGGTTCCCAGTGGAAATTTTTGATGAATTTTTGTGAGCATCTTCTTCATTAAGTCTAGTTTATCCATACCAAATTTCAGCTAAAAATTCAACACGGGAAGGCAGTCAAATGATTTTCTGAAATATACTGCGCTGTATAACTGCGTGGTTATCTTCAAACAATTATTTGACTGCCTTTCTGATTGCATTTTTAGTTGAAATTTGGTACGAGTAAACTAGACTTAATGAAGCAAATGCCCAAAATAATTCATCAAAAAATTCCACCGGTGACCACCCAAATGGCGACGGCCGAACATAGCTTCCTATAAAATGTGTGATTTATAATTTTTCGTTTAGTTCAAGGGCTTATTCACCCCGTTTCCCATTTTTTAATGGGAAATTCTATTTACAAACCCTCAATTACTTACTCCCTCCGTCCCAAAATGATAGTCTTGTTATCTTGTATTTCCTTTTTGGGATGTCCCAAAATGATGGCCTTGTTTCCCTTTTTGGAAAGAAAGATGTGGTCCATATCATTTCACTTTATTATACTCAAATCTCAACCACAACTTTTAACTTTTCAACCACTTTATTAAAATTTGTGCCCAAAAGAAATGAGACTATCAAATTGGGACGGAGGGAGTACTAAATACAGCCACATACTCCCTCCGTCCTGAAATAATTGTCCTGCTTTCCTTTTCGGTCCGTCCCGAAATAATTGTTCCATTTCCTTATTTGGTAAACAAATCTATACAAAACAGTGTCAAACAGTGTAAAACAGTGCCAAACAGTGTCGCTACTGTGCCAAACAGTGTCGCTAGAGTGCCAAACAGTGTCGCTACAGTGTGAAGTCAACTTTGTTTTCTTAATATGTGTGAAGGTCAAAACAGGACGATTATTTCGGGACAGAAGAGGTACTTTTTTAATTCCCATCACACCCTTATCTGACTAAACACAGCCTTGGCACTCCCACAGGGCGATTACAGCAAAGCTTTACCGATAATGATGACTGCTCTTGACTCTTCTGAGTTTGATTCTTCTAACTGTACATACACACATGTATAGATATAAATTTACAGAGTAAGTAGGAATTAGTTTGTAGTTGGATTCCTTCCACCAATTTCTACTCCCCAAGTTTTCCAATTGGCTAATCACTGTAGCGCGTCTGGGCTTGGAGTAGCCGTAAACGAAAGACAGTCCATATCCTTCCGTCTGGAATGCTTCCGATCAGCGCTACTGTCCAGGTGGGAGGGGATGAACTCCCGGTTGAGGGAAGGGTTTTATTTTTATTTATTAATAGTTAATTTAATGGGTGTGATTAATAGAATTACCTTTTTTTATTACTTAATCCACACTCTCATTTGTGAATCCGAGTGGAATGTTTGGTTCAACCCAATTTTCCGGTCCACCCACCGCCCCTTTTCACTAGCCAGTAGCCACAAATCCACAACACTCCAACCGAAGTGGAGACTATGTAATTAATCCTGATTATATAATTAACGGAATCCAATTAATTAATCAATGCCTAGATCAGACCTATATTGCTTTCAGATGCACGCTAGCTACTCCATCGTCCATTTCTGAACTTAATATTCTTCACTTTAAATGATCGATAAACGAAACGAATCCAGAAACTCCTTGAATGAATTGTTCAGTAATTCATTCGTTACTTTATCTCCAATGAAAAGTAATCCATCTTTCAAGTAACCCTGCCCCATTCTATATTCATATATATATTAATTAAATGTATTACAAAGGCCTGTCGAATATTAATAAGTAATTCACACAACTGTAAATTTGAAAGATATATGGAGGATCTTCATTATTATAATAGTAATAATGATTTCAGCGTATCATTTCGGAGGTGGATGTGGTTGTTGGTGGCGGTGATGGCGGTGGGGGGGCAAGAAGGGAAATTGTCCGGAGTGGAGGGGCTGGGATGCAATTTGGGGTCTAGGGCAACGCATCCGCTCCCGCCCGACATCGTAGTGAAGCTGATGAAAGACAACGGGTTCGACAAAGTGAAACTGTTCGAGGCGGAAGGTCCGATATTGAGAGCGCTGGGCAGGTCGGGGATCGAGGTGATGGTCGGAATACCCAACGACATGCTGGCCGGCCTCGCCGCCAGCGTCAGCGCCGCCGAGGCTTGGGTGGCTCAGAATGTGTCCACTTTCATTTCCAAGTATGGCGTAGACATAAGGTATGTTGTACCTTGATTGCGACCTAAGCTGTCAGTTAATCACTCCTCTCTTGTTATACACGAGACAAACGTATTTCCCTAAAGCGAAATTTATCCCACTATTATTAAAAGAAAAACAAGCAAAATAATTTTTTTATTTAATGCATATGGAACGTGGGTAGCATATCATTCTCCCATCAAATTAGCATATCTTTTAGTCATATTAGAATTAATTTTCTCTTCCCTAAAACTAGTCGATTTGTTCTTTGTATGAAAGAATTTATGTCTAAATTAGGGCTTGATGGATAGTTGTTAAGACAATCACATGTTAATAAGAGAATTTTTTTAGATAGGAGTAACATATGTTTTGGAATTTCAAAATATGCCAAATACCTTGTGTTGTAATGGCTTCAATGCCGATCTCTCGAAAAAGATGTTGCATGTTCGAGTCACATTCCAATCAAGGATGTTGACATTAAAATGAGCAGATACTATAATATATTTAGAAGAATATTTAAAAAAAAACAAATTATGACTGCTATGATTTTCTTGTTAAAATATGAGTAACATGACAGTGTTAATTATATCTTGTAGTCATTATTGTCAAATAGTTGCAATATTATGTATTAAACATGCCAATATTTAGTATCATTAATGACTACATTTTTCTATCATGACAATATTTTTTCAATCATGACTGTAACAGCTCATATTTAAGGAAGAAAAACATATCAACGTAATTTTGAAATTAATTACCAAACTTGTTTACTCATATTTATATATGATGATGATGTATATAATTGAGGAAATTTCTTAAATAGATTTGAAATGTGCACTTTTCTTCCTGATACGGGACAATGATGTTTATGTGTGTAAGATAATCAAAATGTTTGAAATAAGATTAAAAACGTTTGTAAATTGTAGAACAAGAACATTGTGTTTTATTCCCTAAATAGAAGTGATATTGTAATTTTTAAAATTTCCATATTTAGAAAATATTCACCTATGACAATATACTTCTATATTTGAAGTTTGATAATGTCAAAATATGATAATAAATTTTCAAGATGACAATAATACATTTCTGAATAGGAAAATACAAGATAGTACTACATAAAATGAATTAAATATAACTCATTCAACTTATATGATCTTATGTGTTTAAGTTTGGTTTAACAATGTCTAGTATAATAAATCAAATTTAAGTTTGATTTTGTTTTTTCCCCAAAAATATAACACATCCACTCCGATTTTAAGATTTAATTAATTCAATAAGATCGACTTAGAATGTCTTATTAAATGAATTACATAAGAATTAAGATGTACCTTAAAAAGAGTTTGAATGTTTTCGTTTGAACTTATTTTTTCTAGTCTTTGCTATAAATCGGACTGGTCTATTTAAATGTACGATTTTCCATTGTTTAAATTTATTTGATATAATTTCATATATTTAGATGTCATATATTTTGAGATTGAAATAAGTTTAAGTATTCATATCCTAAATACTCTCTCCATCTTATAAAATTTTTCTCATTTACGTAGTACATTTTTGAGATGTTCTAAAGAATTCTCCTATTTTTCTCTTTGTTAAGTTTTGAATAGTTAATATTCAATTACTTTTTTCTTACTAATCACAATCATAAATTTTTACTTGATTTTCACTTTCTTAAACTGTGATCCAAATTAAATTGAAATTTTTTTATGAGAATGAAGAATAAGTCTTATTTTGATAATAAATTTAACTTTTTATATATAATGATGTACTCATATTTTGTGTTTATTTCCTTTATTTTTGGATTTAAAGGCACGTGGCGGTAGGAAATGAACCATTCTTGAAAACGTACAAAGACAAGTTCGTGCAAACAACATTCCCGGCACTGAAGAATATCGGAGCGGCACTGGTCAAAGCTGGCTTAGGTCGTCAGGTCAAAGTCACCGTCCCTCTGAACGCCGACGTGTATGACACGTCCACCGGCGTTCCCTCCGGCGGAAACTTCCGGCCCGAGATAGAACCACTCATGCTCTCCATCGTCAAATTCCTGAGCGACAACGACGGCCACCTCACCATCAACATCTACCCTTTCCTCAGCCTATACGCCGACCCCCACTTCCCCGTCGATTACGCCTTCTTCAACGGCGCTGCCTCCCCGGTCGTCGACGGCTCCACCGTTTACACCAACGTCTTGGACGCCAATTACGACACTCTGGTTTGGGCCCTCGAGAAAAACGGGTACGGATCGCTACCCATCATCATCGGGGAGGTCGGGTGGCCCACCGACGGCGACCAGAATGCGAATCTGGAGTATGCCCGGAAGTTCAATCAGGGGTTGGTGGACCGGATAATTCAGGGCAGGGGAACCCCGAAGCGGCCGTCGTCTCCGCCGGACACCTATCTGTTCGGGCTAATCGACGAGGACGCCAAGAGCATCGATCCGGGAAACTTCGAGAGACACTGGGGGCTGTTCTACTTCGACGGCACAATCAAGTACCAGCTGGATCTGGGAAACAACCGGAGTTTGACGCCGGCGAAGGGCGTCCGGTATTTTCCCCGGCAATGGTGCGTTTTAGCCGGGGACGCCAATCCAGCGGACCCCGCCAGCTTGGTGGACTTTGTCAACTACGCCTGCGGCTTCGCCGACTGCACGAGCCTCGGCTTCGGCTCATCCTGCGCCGGCTTGGACGCCAGGGGAAACGCTTCTTACGTGTTCAATAGTTACTATCAGACGATGAATCAGACGAGGAGCGCGTGCGGCGACAAGTCGCAGAACTTGGGGGTGATTACGAAGATCGACCCGTCTCCGACGCGCTCTTCGCAGGGAGGCGCGTGCAGGTTTGAGGTCATGATCGACGTCGCCGCGCACAAGAAGAGGTCTCCTTTTCCGGGCACTTCTTCCGCCGTGAAGCAGCAGAGTTCTTTTTCCGTTCTTGGGGCCGTGCAAACTGCGGTCACCATTGTGTTTATGGCGTTTTCATGATTTCGTATTTAATTTATCATTTTCTCTGCTGTAAAGTTAAATGCAAATTAGTTTCTTTGGCCATAGAAACTCATCAGCTTGCTATGGTATTATGTTGTACAATACAGAGTAGTATTTTTCTACTTTACAAGTCTCAATAAGGTCTTCCAATGGGGCGAAATTTTTTCATGGGTGTACAGGGTGAAAAATATTTGGTAGTGTAGCGCGGATAATATTTTTCGCTAGTATAGTAGGGTGATTTTTTTCCCCTAGTATAGGGCTCTGTGGCTAGTTTTATTCAAAAAAATCATTAATACATACATGATGACGTTAAAAATTATTACTCCTTCCGTCCCGTTGGAATGTTTCCGATTTGACCTACACACATATTAAGGAAATAAATTTACCAGGAGGTAAATTTTACTGTTTTGACACTGTTTCGACACTGTTTGGCACTGTTTCGACACTGTTTGACACTGTTTTGCACTGTTTGACCCTGTTTTGATGTAGGATAACTTTCCATTTAGGGAAATGGGAACTTTCCAACGGGACATCCAAAAAAGGAAAACGGGAACATTCCAACGGGACGGAGGGAGTACATTCTAAGTTTAGACAATGGAAAAATAACTTTGATTTTATAATTGAAATGCTCTACAAAAAAGTATTAATACACTAAATTGTAAGAAATAGCAAACTAAAATAAAATTATTTGAAAATAAAGAGTTTAAAAGTACACATCCACCAGTACTTTTTAAATAACTATTGCCTTGTTTAACCACATGAATCTTGGTGTAAAAAACCACATGAATCTTGGTGTAAAAAAACCACATGAATCTTTATCACAATAAAGAATTGATTTTTGTATTGCAATAGTATGTATGGCATTATTATTTTTAGAACAATATTATATTGCTGATTCATATATATGGTGCATATTATATTTGCATTAATGCTAATAGAATAATATCTATGCAATAATTAATTTGTAGAACATAACAAGTAAATGAATTGTGTAATTTAATGTCAATAGAAATTTATATTTTAGATTCACCTCACATGATCTAAAACCTATTTAACTAATGTGTCTGGTAGTTAACATTGTTTGATATTGTACAAAGTATTAATTATCTAATAAAGATAAGTAAAAATTACAAAAGTAAGAGTTTTATATAATAAATATCCCAAGCCTTAAACAATGATCATAGTTGTTCTATTGTTTATTTGCTTAAGTACGTAAATTATTTTAGACGTTTCTTCTTTTAAATCTCCGATTAATTATTACATAATGTAGGGCTATACATTAATCTTAAAAACCAAAAGTTAAGGGGGGCGAATACATATATATCTAATTAGAGTATGAAAAATTTGTGAAAATATTACATACATAATGCAAAAAAAAATGAAAAACCTCCCCCCACGTCCCCCCCTAAATCCATCCCCGTTTGCTTCATTAAATATGTTAGTAACAACTAACAAGTAAAGAGTCACAAGAGTATCCCTATAACTCCATCCATGCTTTTCAAATTTTTGATTTTGGATATGTTTCTCTTGTCATGGCATTGCTGCACAAACAAAATTAAAACTTGCTAATTTTCTCTCAATCATGATCTTTATTCATTTAGTTTTTATGTAATTTTTTATTATTTACAAGGAGGTATTTTAGTCATTTCAAATTAAAAGACATGGTTATATTAAATGTGTTTATTAAATGTGTTTTTTATGGTTTTGTTAATTTCATTTTACACCAAAGTGGATAACACAATTCATTTACACACATCTTTATTCTCAACATTAACTGGGTCGGACCACATTTACTCTAAAATGTATTTTTTCAAACGTTTTCCAATCAATTCAATTATTTCAATCCAAACTTTATAAATTTTAGTATAATCAATTAAATACGACCTATTTAGATAGGATTTAATGCATCAAACCCTCTCGTGAAATATGAATTTAGCGCATTAACCCCACGTGATTTAAAAAATGTGTCAAACCTCTTGTATTATAGTCATTCATGCGCAAAACCCCTTCTATGAACAAATGTACTTGCCAAAAACGAAAAATTATTAGTTTTTTTTTTGTATAATTTATAAACTTTGATAAAGTTACTTGCATACTCAACTATATTATTAAGAAAAGTGATTTTAAAATTGTAAAATTTGTTCTTGGAGAGGGTTTTGCGAATAAATAATTATAACAAAGGTTGTTTTGACGCATTTCTAAAATCACAGTGGATTAATGCACCGAATTTATGTTTCACGAGGGGATTGGTCCATTAAGCCTTATTTAGATATTATCGAATGGCTCTTTATTTTTTAGAAACAACCTAAAACTTGAACTAATGTTACCATTTTGCGTAATTTATACCGTCAATAATACCGTACAACTGGCTGTACCTAGGACATGGTACAGCCATTTTTTTGTAATTAAATCCATATTTGAGGCTAGTTATTTACTCTTGTTCGTCCTTTCCACAATTGTACGTCCTCTTCTCCTACCTTTCGTTCATTCCTCGCTCTCAGCTTTCTTCGATCTTTCCATCTTCGATATTCCACAACTTTCGTCTTTCTCCTCACCTTTATTATTACTTATGTTGCTTCTTCCACAGGTTTGCCGTTGTTCTCAACTTCGACCAGTGATCGATGTAAGTAAGTATTTGTTCTTCTCCAATTTTCATTTATAGGTTATTTTCTTCTCTTGTTGGAAGATTTTTTTCTTTTTTCAAATATTTCTTTTGCTGCACTTGTCTTCATCATTATTAGTGCATATCAGTCAATTTTAGTTAAAAATCCATATTCCAATCAATTTTTGTTCATTCAATTCATATTTTTCTTTCCTTTTTTGGATTGACCGTTAAATTCAAATTCCGGTCAATTTTTGTTCATTCAGTTCATATTTATTATGTTGCGGCATTTTTGTTTATCCAAGAATTGATGCTATGTCTAGTTCTGAAGGTAATTTTTCAACAAACACCTTCACTATATTTGATTTCTTTTCCTGAGTATAACTTTAATTAGTAATGATAATCTGTTTTTTTTTTATTTGTTATCCCCTGTCTAGATGGTATTTCTTGCACTTGCAAATTAATTTATGATATTGAGGTCAGAGGCGAACTTTTTGAAGTTGATTGCAGTAATACTTTCTCTCTTTGCAAATCACATAGTGTTTTTGTTTGGTCTGTGTTGTTTACTTTCAACTGTATTGTTATTTATTTGTAAATTTTTTATGGATTCAGATTACTTGGCTTCTGGTGAAGTAATAACAGAATCTATTGGACTTAGGTGAAGATTTTTGTGTGTATAACAGAATCTGTTGTTGTCCTACCAAGTATTGTGATTTCTTACATTTTATCACTTCTTTATGTTTCTTGTATTGAAATTTTTCTACTTTTGAGCATGTAGAACAATCTGATGAGCCTTTGTGTGTTGAAACTATATAAGTTAAGGGAGCTGAAATTTCTGAGCTATTGCGTAAAAGTATTTTCTCAGAAAAAGAGGCATTTAAGTTATACAATGATTACACTTATAGAATTGGTTTTGGTGTTCGTATTCTACTTTGAGAAAGAGAGATAGTGGTTATGGTTTTAGGGGAAGGGAATTTTCTTATACTCAGCAAGGTTTGAAAAGGAATAAATGTGTTATTGGTAAGCAATATACAAAAGTTGATAGGTGAACTGGATGTAAGGCAAAAATATATTTCGAGATAAAACCTACTCGTGTGTGGGTTGTAGTTAGGCATGATATGGATCATTATCACTAGTTTTGCCTGAATTCATTAGTGCATCACGTTAGGTCTCACCGTTGTGTTTCTTCAAATGAGTCAGAATACTTGCATCATTTGAAAAACAAAGGAGTTAAGATATCAGATGGTTTTTGTTGCTTGCAAGCAGAAGCTGGTGATCTCCTTATGTTGGTTTTCTTTTGCTTGATGCTTATAATGAGTTGACAAAACAGACTAAGAAAAGCTTTTGATGATTATGATCCTAATACACTGATTAACATTTTTAAGAACAGACAATCAAATGAAGAAGATTTTTTCTTTTATTTTGAGATTGATATGGATAGTTCTTTGGTTATCTTTTTTTGGAGAGACAAGAAAATGAAAGAAGATTATACTGCATTTGGTGAATTGGTTATCCGTGATACGACTTATCGCACCAACAAGTATGACATGATTTATGGACCATTTGTTGGTGTTAATTAACTCTCACACTCATAATTGTATGTTTGGTTGTGGTTTTCTGTTTAATGAGAGCATTGAGTCTTTTGAATGGCTTTTCAATACATTTTTCCAATCTATGAGTTCTGTCCACCCAAGAACTGTTATGAAAAATGAATCTGCTGCAATGGTTGCTGCAATTTCTAAAGTTTTCCCTCTCCCCAAGCACCGTCTTTGTATATGGCATACCATTGAAAATTCTAAGAAACATATACGTGATTTGAGGAATCAAAAGGGATCCTTGGACTGGTTTGATCATGTTTTGAAACTGTGTCACACTGTTGCTGAATTTGATTATTACTGGAATAAGTATGTTTCATTGTCACTATTTTATTTTATGTTTTTTCACATTTACATTAATCCTATTTTTATGAGTATTTTTCATAATCAGAATGAGTAAGCAGTTGCATCCAATGATTATATTTGTTAATGCATTGTCTTTTGCGTTTTGCAGAATGATCTCTGAATATAGTTATTCTGATAATCCTTGATTAACCAATCTATATGAGATGAGGGAGATAACATTCCTGAATTAAGAGTACCACGAATACTCATAATATTTAAAGTATTGTTTATTACATAGAAAGAATATTTGTATGAATATTGAAGATCATTATGTATATTGTAAACAGTATAGACATAAAGAATATTAGCAACAAAATAAATTTACTCGAGACACACTAGTCATCAATTACATAGTGTTGGGATATATAAATGCAAATGATTAACAACAAGCTATATTTTGAGCATCAACACAAAGTCGCTGAGTAATATAATAACAGACATTAGTCTAACAATAGCAAACAAGTGAACAACAACAATATGACTACATAGCTATTTGAAAATCTAACTACAAACTTGTGTGACCAGTTGGTGATGTACTAGCTTGACGTGACTTTTTCCTTGCTCTAGCTTGATTTGTTTTCACTTCAATAAGACTATTGCAACACACATTTCTTTCGCCCTTTTTCCTTGAAGTATTTGGATTAGATATTCTTGAACTCACACCAACTGAGGTAGAATCACTATTAGAGAAATAAATGCTTTCAACTTGATCTCAACATTCAGTTTCAACTTTTTAAAAGATTCTTCAAACAATTGCCTTTCTGTAGAATTAGAATTACTAGAGAGCACAAAAGCTTGTGAAATTTCTTCTACAT